ACAGCTCTTTGGTCTTGGCCATAGTGGAGTTTGGAGTGTGACTGTTTGAGGTTGTGGACAGGTGTCTTTTATACTGATTAATACAGGTAACGAGTGGAGGACAGAGGAGCCTCTTAAAGAAGAAGTTACAGGTCTGTGAGAGCCAGAAATCTTGCTTGTTTGTAGGTGACCAAATACTTATTTTCCACCATAATTTGCAAATAAATTCATTAAAAATCCTACAATGTGATTTTCTGGAGAAAAAAATTCTCAATTTGTCTGTCATAGTTGACGTGTACCTTTGATGAAAATTACAGGCCTCTCTCATCTTTTTAAGTGGGAGAACTTGCACAATTGGTGGCTGACTAAATACTTTTTTCCCCCACTGTATGTCAAAGGGTTAGATTTGACCATATTGCTTATAGTTATCCAATCCATACCCACTTTACTCCCTCTAAGGATTGTGTAAGTGTGCAACACAGCTGGCCTATTGGCTACAGGGTATTTGAACTTTGACCCATTGATTGTGTGTAACATTTTTGGCCTTACGCAACATTGCTGAGTTGTTTCATCAGTTAATACTGAAAGGTTCTGCAGGAATGGTTAAAGGGAGTAATCAAAGAGTGTGGGGTTTTGTGGGGGAGGTATAGTGACACACACACACAGAGATCAGAACAGCACAGAAAATGTGGTCATACCCTGTGTGTGTAGTGTTTGTGTGTGAGTGTGTGAGTGTGTGTGTGTGTGTATGCATGCTGGTGTGTATGAGCTTCTTTCTGTGTCTATCCAAGTGCCTATGTGTACTCCATGCCTGTGTGTGTTCCTGTGTCTGTGGGAGTGTTGAAGAGGTCTATTGTTCGGTCTGGTGTCAGCAGACTTGGACTGTGTGGGTTTGACCAGAAACACAAGCATTTATTCACTCTGTACTTTAACCCCTCCACCAATCAGAATACTAATTTTGAATCCTTTTCACCAATCAGACCAACTCTAACCTCCTAACCAACCATACTTCAACCCTTTAACCGCCCTCACTAATCATATCACTGCATTTTATCTATTTTCTGTGCTGTAGTTTCCACTTCTGTCTTTTTAGTCCTTCTCCCATCAGAGCATTGCTTTCTCGTCTCATTCCCGGCCGTGTTGCCCATAACCACTGATACAGGGACAGATCGTTTCATCCTACTACCGCTTAAGGTTAGGATTGGGGGTTGGGTAATCTGATCCAAGATCTGTTGTTACCTCAAACTGTCTTATGTTTCTAACAGGAGAGCCTAGAAGCCTAGCGAGGCTACTTCCTATATCGTAGCTTGTCTCGCTGCATCTTTTGTCCCGCGATACATCCCATGCCACGCAGGAAACCGTCTCTCATTGTACCTTATTGTGTCGCTGTTTCCTGTTCCTGTTTTTGTTGTCAAAGAGCTAGACTTCTTCCTGTTAAGCTCATGGTGTCGCTATCAGGTAAACAGCAAAAAACAATGTTATTAGTTCCCTCTCTCTGCAGTCCCACAGGCATATGCAATTGATTTTGTGCTGTGAATGAATTTATTGTATTTGTATGTCCGCATGTATGTGTGTATCAGTGGAGGCTGCTGAGGGGAGGACGTCTCATAATAATGTATTTGATACCATTCCACTAATTCCGCTCCAGCCATTACCACAAGCCCGTCCTCCCCAATGAAGGTGCCACAACCTCCTGTGGTGAGAGAGAGAGAGAGAGAGAGAGAGAGAGAGAGAGGAGAGAGAGAGAGAGAGAGGAGAGAGATCTAGAGAGAGAGAGAGCTCTCCGTCGTGCGATACGGCTCTCAGAGGCTGCTAGGTCTCCTCCTATAGAGAGCAGCTCTCGAGTCGTCTAGCATCTCTCCTCGCGTCTCTCTTCCTCAGAGCGTCTTCTCCCTCTCTCGCTCTCTCTAGCGAATAGATAGAGGAGAGAGGGTTACTTTATGTATGTTTTTTTTCTCCTGCACACCTCAGACTAAGAGTCAGACCATGGCCCACCCCTTGCGAAGGACAGCTCTGCTCGCCCCTCCTTCTTCCTCCTCCCCTCACCCCTCGCTCTCTTCTCCTCAGTCTCTCATTCAGTCTTCTGCTGTGGTCTCTGCCTCGGCCAGATACAGTCTCTCTTTCCCTCTTTCACTTTATACTCTTTGTTCATACTCTTCTCTTCACACCCCCACCCCTCTCTCTATTCCCCTATTTGAATGATCTCCTTCTTGTTCAGTTTCAAGTCTTTGCTGTAACTCAATGCTTAGTGTGCTGCCTTTCTTTCTTTCTTTCTCTCTCCCTCCCTCTCTTCCGTCATGAGAACTCTACACAGGCTGAAGTTGATGAGCTCCCCCAGTCTCAGTGAACTGGGAAAGAGTGAGAAGGGATCACCGGAGGAGAGAGGAGAGAAACAGAAGAGGGCCGGGGCCAATGCTACCTGGAACAGGTATGCTGCAGCCTGACCATGCATGTAGTCTGTGCTTGTTATGAATATTAACTATCATCTAATGGGTAAATGGAATCTGAACCTTACATGTTGGTGTGTGTGTGTGTGTGTACACTAGCATCCACAATGCTGTCATTGCCGTCTTCCAGAAGAAAGGTCTGGCTGACAATGAACTCTATGTCCTCAACGAAGGTGTTAGGTGAGTTACAAACACACACATCTGTTTGCTAGTATGGCATTTATCTGCCATGTGTGTGTGTGTCTGTGCCTGTGTGTGTGTGTTTGTGGGAGGCCATGTGGCCTTGCCAGATATCTCATTATCATTCCAGACCAGATCAGAGCTGTCAGTTCTGTCATATCAGCCTCCATTACAGCCCAGTAAACAACTGGAGTCACACGTATCACACACTATAGGAGAAAACCAACAGGCCACAGAGCTGCGTCAATCATTCACAGCAAATTCTTCAGTGTTAAATCAACACTGACAGTGTTAAATTTAACACTGGGCCAGTGTCTATACGGGTCCACACTTTTGAGCGTTAAATTAACACTGTGCTTAGTGCTGACACTTTGACACTTTGTCATTGTTAGGGAATTAAGACTTTCAGTGTTATGCAATAACACCTCATGTAGTATTTTTTAACACTAGGAAGTGTATATACACTGCTCAAAAAAATAAAGGGAACACTTAAACACAATGTAACTCCAAGTCAATCACACTTCTGTGAAATCAAAATGTCCACTTAGGAAGCAACACTGATTGACAATAAATGTCACATGCTGTTGTGCAAATGGAATAGACAACAGGTGGAAATTATAGGCAATTAGCAAGACACCCCCAATAAAGGACTGGTTTTGCAGGTGGTGACCACTTCTCAGTTCCTATGCTTCCTGGCTGATGTTTTGGTCACTTTTGAATGCTGGCAGTGCTTTCACTCTAGTGGTAGCATGAGACGGAGTCTACAACCCACTCAAGTGACTCAGGTAGTGCAGCTCATCCAGGATGGCACATCAATGCGAGCTGTGGCAAGAAGGTTTGCTGTGTCTGTCAGCGTAGTGTCCAGAGCATGGAGGCGCTACCAGGAGACAGGCCAGTACATCAGGAGACGTGGAGGAGGCCGTAGGAGGGCAACAACCCAGCAGCAAGACTGCTACCTCCGCCTTTGTGCAAGGAGGAGCAGGAGGAGCACTGCCAGAGCCCTGCAAAATGACCTCCAGCAGGCCACAAATGTGCATGTGTCTGCTCAAACGGTCAGAAACAGACCCCATGAGGGTGGTATGAAGGCCCGACATCCACAGGTGGTGGTTGTGCTTACAGCCCAACACCGTGCAGGACGTTTGGCATTTGCCAGAGAACACCAAGATTGGCAAATTCGCCACTGACGCCCTGTGCTCTTCACAGATGAAAGCAGGTTCACACTGAGCACATGTGACAGACTTGACAGAGTCTGGAGACGCCGTGGAGAACATTCTGCTGCCTGCAACATCCTCCAGCATGGCCGGTTTGGCGGTGGGTCAGTCATGGTGTGGGGTGGCATTTCTTTGGGGGGCCGCACAGCCCTCCATGTGCTCGCCAGAGGTAGCCTGACTGCCATTAGGTACCGAGATGAGATCCTCAGACCCCTTGTGAGACCATATGCTGGTGCGGTTGGCCCTGGGTTCCTCCTAATGCAAGACAATGCTAGACATCATGTGGCTGGAGTGTGTCAGCAGTTCCCGCAAGAGGAAGGCATTGATGCTATGGACTGGCCCGCCCGTTCCCCAGACCTGAATCCAATTGAGCACATCTGGGACATCATGTCTCGCTCCATCCACCAATGCCACATTGCACCACAGACTGTCCAGGAGTTGGCAGATGCTTTAGTCCATGTCTGGGAGGAGATCCCTCAGGAGACCATCCGCCACCTCATCAGGAGCATGCCCAGGCATTGTAGGGAGGTCATATAGGCACGTGGAGGCCACACACACTACTGAGCCTCATTTTGACTTGTTTTAAGGACATTACATCAAAGTTGGATCAGCCTGTAGTGTGGTTTTCCACTTTAATTTTGAGGGTGACTCCAAATCCAGACCTCCATGGGTTGATACATTTGATGTCCATTGATAATTTTTGTGTGATTTTGTTGTCAGCACATTCAACTATGTAAAGACAAAAGTATTTAATAAGATTATTTCATTCATTCAGATCTAGGATGTGTTATTTTAGTGTTCCCTTTATTTTTTTTAGCAGTGTAGTTTACACCAACGGTGTTATGCAATAACACCTCATAAAGTATTTTTAACCATTACACAGAGGTCCGTATCTCTTGACAAGGTCACTCACTGTTGGGTTAAGGACATTACAAAAATATTTACAAGTCTTTATTGCCACATGCTCTTATGTAAGGAGTTTTTGTATTTATTTTTATGTAAAATGTTCAATAAGTTCAAATTCAATCCATCATTAATTAAAAATTTAAAATAATAAACAATTCAAACAATAAGAAATTCAAATAAGGCAAACCAAATGTTCATCAAATCAAACAAAAGCAAAAACAAAAGTGATCAATCAATCAATAAAAAAAAAGAATCAGAAGAATCTGTCCGTCAGTCAATGTGTCTGTGTCTTTGTGTTGGGTGAGGGGAAGGGGGTCGGTCTGGGCTGGGCTGGCAGTTGCTGGATGTAGGTGGCAGTTGTGGTTGGTTGGTGCTGTGTCCAGGGTTGTTGTTGGTGTTGGGGCTGGGACTGGAAGTCGTGCTGGTACTGGGACCAGGACTGGAAACCAGGTGTTGGTGCTGGGTCTGGTGCTGGGACTGGAGGAAAGAAACAGGAACCTGGAGCCGGGAACTGGGGCTGCTGCAGGTGCTGGGTCAGGATCTGGGTCTGTAGAGAGGAGGAAGGACAACCTGAGGAGCAAGCAGACACACAAGGGAGTCCTAGATACAGAGGTCAATGGTGGTACTTTCCTGTGGCCTACTCGCTCCGGGTGAATGTGTGATCTTTGGTCTGATCCAGGTCTGTGTTTGATCATTTCGTTGCAGAGGTGGATGAGGGCCTCTAGCGGGTCTTTTGTGTTGTTGGGTGGTTCTTGGCTGTTCACAGGTCTTGGCGTGCCTCCCCACTGATTGCCTGGTGGCCCCCTGTACTGACTTGGTGATAGAATTGAGGGTGCTGGGTCTGGTCTGTCTGTCTTTTCCATTTGGTAATTTTTGTCCAGTTTGACCAGGGGTTTGATGGGGGTGGAGGTGGCTAGGAAAGGATTTGTTGGGGGGAGGGGGGCTGTTTCTGGAACGTCTTCGGTGGTGACGGGTGGGGGCCGTTTCTGGGACATCTTGGATGGTGGGTTAGGCCTTGCCTGTGGAAAGGTCTGGGACTGGTTCTGGGTCTTCGTTGTTGTCTGGTGGAGGGGGTTGGTGGGGTTGGGATTTGGGTTAGGGTTGATGGTGTTGGCCCTTGCCCTGCCGGCATAGGAGCTGGGACAGGTTCTGAAGTAGGTGGCCGCCTTTCCCGCACAGGTTGCAGTGGCGTGTGGAGGTACAGTCTGAGGTGGGATGGTTGTCTTTAAAGATCTTGCAGATGATGGCTGTGCAGACTGCGGCCAGATGTTTTTTATTTTTTATTTTACCTTTATTTAACTAGGCAAGTCAGTTAAGAACAAATTCTTATTTACAATGATGGCCTACACCGGCCAAACCCGGACGACGCTGGGCCAATTGTGCGCCGCCCTACGGGACTCCCAATCACGGCCGGTTGTGATACAGCCTGGAATCGAACCAGGGGGTCTGTAGTGACGCCTCAAGCACTGAGATGCAGTGCCTTAGTCCGCTGCGCCACTCGGGAGCCCAGATGGCCCAGTTCCTGTACAGTTTGGGCTTGCCGTAGTAGTGGACGGAGCCTCTGTTGTTCCCCAGCGTGATGGTGCTGGGGAGGTGTTGGACTCTGCCCACTTTGGTTGGGTCTGGTCTTAACTGGACCAGCCATTTTCGTGCCCCAGTCCAGGACCCTCCTAGCCACTGACTTGATGGTGGCGAACCTGCTTAACCAAACTTGCGTGTCATAGTCCTGGATGCATTCATTGTGAAGCTGTACTGTATAACTTGGATTCTGTGTTGGAAAGGGGGTATGCTCTGATTCTGTTAAACGGGGCTGAATCCTTGCCATTTCTGAATTTTTACCAAAACTGTTCTAGTGACTGGGGGGTCTTGAAACGGGCTTCAAATGATTCATGTGGCCCTGGGGGTTTCACCAGGCAATTCAGGTCAGACGGCACAAAGCCCATAGCTCTCTGGAGAACTGTCCTGCTGAATTCCAGGCGGGACATGGTTTCTGGTCTGGCAGTTGTTGTTGCTATTTCTGCTCCTCTGTGATTGGCGGCTCTGTCCTCGGCAGCCTCCTCGTTGGGGATCAGCTTTAACCTCACCGCGTTGTGTCAGCGCATTGCTCCTAGGTTCATCCTGGCCATCTTGCTCAGGTGGGGGTTGTTTTGGGTCTTGATGATGTCTGGTCTGGTTGTTGGTCTGCGCCGGTCCTACGACACAGTAATATACACAGGGGTGAAAGTAGATTACATTTCTTCCTGGTAAGGGACCTCCTATTGCCACATGCTCTTATGTAAGGGTTTATAAAGACTTCAGAACTGGTAGCAGACATGGTCAATCTTTAATAAACATAACCATAGACCACTTAAACTGGTACAACACTTCTACTCACGGGTGACCAAAAATAACTAATTGAAAGCCATGCCCCCACTAAGCCACGCCTCCGATATAATTTCCCAATGTGCGTTGCCTTTTCGGGTGAATTGTAGGTATACCACCCATGACTGTATTTGTTAGTGAAAAAGACATGGTTGTTGAATTTGTTCAATTTCTGTCCTGTGCAAGATGGCCAGGATGAACCTAGGAGCAATGCGCTGACACAACGCGGTGAGGTTAAAGTGAGTTCCTACTGTAGGCGAATGTCATTCAAATTAAACTGTTTATGACAATACATACAGTGCATTCAGAAAGTATTCAGACCCCTTGACTTTTTCCACATTTTGTTATGTTACAGCCTTGGATTATATTTATTTTTTCCTCAGCAATCTACACACAATAATACCCCATAATGACAAAGCGAAAACACGTTTTTAGAAATGTTTGCAAATGTATATTAAACAAAAAATGTATTTACATAAGTATTCAGACCCTTTGCTATGAGACTCGAAATTGAGCTCAGGTGCGTCCTGTTACCATTGAACATCCTTGAGATGTTTCTACAATTTGATTGCAGTCCACCTGTGGTAAATTCAATTGATTGGACATGATTTGGAAAGGCACACACACCTGTCTAAATAAGGTCCCACAGTTGACAGTTAATGTCAGAGCAAAAACCAAGCCATGAAGGAATTGTCCGTAGAGCTCTGAGGCACAGATCTTGGGAAGGGTACAAAAAATGTCTGCAGCATTGAAGGTCCCCAAGAACACAGTGGCCTCCATAATTCTTAATGGAAGAAGTTTGGAACCACCAAGACTCTTCCTAGAGCTGGCTGCCTGGCCAAACTGAGCAATCGGGGGAGAAGGGCCTTGGTCAGGGAGGTGACTAAGAACCCGATGGCCACTCTGACAGAGCTCTAGAGTTCCTCTGTGGAGATGGGAGAACCTTCAAGAATGACAACCATCTCTGCAGCACTCCACCAATCAGGGCCAGACGGAAGCCACTCCTCAGTAAAAGGCACATGACAGCCTGCTTGGAGTTTGCCAAAAGGCACCTGAAGGACTCGGACCATGAGAAACAAGATTCTCTGGTCTGATGAAACCAAGATTGAACTCTTTGGCCTGAATGCCAAGCGTCACGTCTGGAGGAATCCTGGCACCATCCCTACGGTGAAGCATGGTGGTGGCAGCATCATGCTGTGGGGATGTTTTTCAGTGGCATTGACTGGGAGACTAGTCAGGATCGAGGGAAAGATGAACGGAGTAAAGATCAGAGATATCCTTGATGAAAACCTGCTCCAGAGTGCTCAGGATGTCAGACTGAGGCGAAGGTTCACCTTCCAACAGGACAATGACCCTAAGCACACAGCCAAGACAACGCAGGAGTGGATTCGGGAGAAGTCTCTAAATGTCCTTGAGTGGCCCAGCCAGAGCCCAGACTTGAACCCAATCGAACATCTCTGGGGAGACCTGAACATAGCTGTGCAGCAATGCTCCCCATCCAACCTGACAGAGCTTGAGAGGATCTGCAGAGAATAATGGGAGAAACTCCCCAAATACAGGTGTGCCAAGTTTGTAGCGTCATACCCAATAAGACAGAAGGCTGTAATCGCTGCCAAAGGCGCTTCAATTAAGTACTGAGTAAAAGGTCTGAATACTTATCTAAATGTGATATTTCTGTTTTTTATTATTAATAAATGTGCAAAAATTTCTAATAACCAGTTTTTGCTTCGTCATTATGGGGTATTGTGTGTAGATTGATGAATCCACTTTTGAATAAGGCTGTAAAGTAACAAAATGTGGAAAAAGGGAAGGGGTCTGGGTCACATTATGCTGGCTTGCAAAGTGATGTGTAATTCCTATTGGAATCCAGCCAGAGTTAGAACATCCAACAATTTGAATTTTTATTCACCCGCAACTTGCATTCAGAATGACTGTCATGGTTAGGAACATTGATAAAGGAGACTAGCTAAACCATTTAAACTGGAACAACAATTTCAGTAATGGGTGCAATAAATCTAAGTAACTGATTGAATTAGTTCAGAATTTTTATTAATTTATCTTTGTATAGCATAAAGTGAATCAATCAATAAATCTACATGTAAAAACACAGATATTAAAAACAATCCCAAAAGATCTAGCTGCTGTAGAGCGTGCTAAGAAATATGATAAGGATGGGCGTGGTTTTGATGGGAATGTTTTACTCTCCACAGAGTAAAACTGACACAATCACACTGTCAGACAACACTTATTAACACCAACAATGGGGTTCTTTTTATCCCACTGAGTGTTAATTTCACTCTTAGAAAGTTAATTTAACTCCTGAATCAACACTAGAAATGTTACACTGAAAAATAAACACTAGGTAAAACTGTCCAGTTTGCTGTGTAGGGTCTAGTCCTAACACTGTTTCAATATATACTTACCACTGGAAACAAACATCAACAGTATGTTTAAAAGAGAAAGCTGAGTTGCACAATACCCATATATCATGCAGTTGAATGAGACTTAAATTCCTTGTAAATACATGTAACTACAAAGTAATACACTATATATACACAAAAGTATATGGACACCCCTTCATGCAATCTCCATAGACAAACATTGGCAGTAGAATGGCCTTACTGAAGAGCTCAGTGACTTTCAACGTGGCACCGTCATAGAATGCCACCTTTCCAACAAGTCAGTTCGTAAAATTTCTGCCCTGCTAAAGCTGCCCCGGTCAACTGTAAATGCTGTTATTGTGAAGTGGAAACGTCTAGGCGCAATTGTCTGTCCTCGGTTGCAACACTCACTACCGAGTTCCAAACTGCCTCTGGAAGCAATATCAGCACAATAACTGTTATTCAGGAGCTTCATGAAATGGTTTCCACGGCCGAGCAGCCGCACACAAGCCTTAGATCACCATGCGCAATTCCAAGCGTCGGCTGGAGTAGTGTAAAGCTCGCCGCCATTGGACTCTGGAGCGGTGGAAACACGTTCTCTGGAGTGATGAATCACACTTCACCATCTGGCAGTCCGACGGACGAATCTGAGTTTGGCGGATGCCAGGAGAACGTTACGTTTGGTGGAGGAGGAATAATGGTCTGGGGCTGTTTTTTGTGGTTCAGGCCAGGCCCCTTAGTTCCAGTGAAGGGAAATCTTAACACTACAGCCTACAAAGACATTCTAGATGATTATGTGCTTCCAACTTTGTGGCAACAGTTTGGGGAAGGCCCTTTCCTGTTTCAGCACAACAATACCCCTGTGCACAAAGCAAGGTCCATACAGAAATGGTTTGTCGAGATCGGTGTGGAAGAAGTTGACTGGCCTGCACAGAGCCCTGACCTAAACCCCATCAAACACCTTTGGGATTAATTGGAACGCCTACTGCGAGCCAGGCCTAATTGCCCAACATCAGTGCCCAACCTAATGCTCACTAATGCTCTTGTGGCTGAATGGAAGGAAGTCCCTGCAGGAATGTTCCAACATCTAGTGGAAAGCCTTCCCTGAAGAGTGGAGGCTGTTGTAGCAGCAAAGGGGGGACCAACTCCATATTAATGCCCATGATTTTAGAATGCTGTCCACTCAAGAAAAAGCTTCAAACTGTAACCAGTGCTTGCAACTTGGTTCAGGTTATCAGTCAACCTACCAGGGTAGTTACAAACAGCACATTCATTAAATCATCAACATGTATTGATCACATCTTTACTAATGCTGCAGAAATTTGCTTTAAAGCAGTATCCAAATCCATCGGATGTAGTGATCACAATATAGGAGCCATATCTAGGAAAACCAAAGTTCCAAGGGCTGGGCCTAATATAGTGTATAAGAGGTCATACAATATGTTTTATAGTGATTTCTATGTTATTGATGTAAAGAATATGTGTTGGTCCGTGGTGTGTAATGAGGAGCAAACAGACGCTGCACTTGACACACTTATGAAATTGTTTATTCCAGTTACTAATAAGCATGCACCCATTAAGAAAATGACAGTAAATACTGTTAAATCCCTGTGGATTGATGAGGAATTTAAACATTGTATGGTTGAGAGGGATGAGGCTAAAGGAATGGCAAATAAGTCTGGCTGCACAACCGATTGGCAAACGCATTGCAAATTGAGAAATCATGTGACTAAAGTGAATAAAAAGAAGAAGAAACTACACTACGAAACAAAGATAAATGACAGTAAAAAGCTTTGGAGCACCTTAAATTAAATTTTTGGGGAAAAAGCAAACTCAGCTCCATCATTCATCAGATGGCTCATTAATCACAAAACCGACTAATATTGCCAACTACTTTAATGATTTTTTCATTGGCAAGATTAGCAAACTTAGGCACTACACATCCAAGTATATCTGACCAAATTACAGTGCCTTGCAAAAGTATTCATCCCTCTTGGCGTTTTTCCTATTTTGTTGCATTACAACCTGTAATTTAAATGCATTTTTATTTGGATTTCATATAATGGACATACACAAAATAGTCCAAATTGGTGAAGTGAAGTGAAAAAAATAACATGTTTCAAAGAATTCAAAAAATATATATTACGGAAAAGTGGTGCGTGCATATGTATTTACCCCCTTTGCTATGAAGCCCCTAAATAAGATCTGGTGCAACCAATTACCTTCAGAAGTCACATAATTAGTTAAATAAAGTCCACCTGTGTGCAATCTAAGTGTCACATGATCTGTCACATGATCTCAGTATATATACACCTGTTCTGAAGGCCCCAGAGTCTGCAACACCACTAAGCAAGGGGCACCACCAAGCAAGCGGAACCATGAAGACCAAGGAGCTCTCCAAACAGGTCAGGGACAAAGTTGTGAAGAAGTACAGATCAGGGTTGGGTTAAAAAAAAATATCAGAAACTTTGAACATCCCACAGAGCACCATTAAATCAATTATTAAAATATGGAAAGAATATGGAACCACAACAAACCTGCCAAGGGAGGGCCGGCCACCAAAACTCATGGACCAGGCAAGGAGGGCATTAATCAGAGAGGCAACAAAGAGACCAAAGATAACCCTGAAGGAGCTGCAAAGCTCCACAGCGGAGATTGGAGTATCTGTCCATAGGACCACTTTACCGAAGAGTGTCCTGAAAAAAGCCATTGCTTAAAGAAAAAAATAAGCAAACACGTTTGGTGTTCACCAAAAGGCATGTGGGAGACTCCCCAAACATATGGAAGAAGGTACTCTGGTCAGATGTGTCTAAAATTGAGCTTTATGGCCAACAAGGAAAACGCTATTTTTGGCGCAAACCCAACACCTCTCATCACCCCGAGAACACCATCCCCACCATGAAGCATGTTGGGATGTTTTTCATCAGCAGGGACTGGGAAACTGGTCAGAATTGAAGGAATGATGGTTGGCGCTAAATACAGGGAAATTCTAGAGGGAAACCTGTTTCAGTCTTCCAGAGATTTGAGACTGGGACGGAGGTTCACCTTCCAGCAGGACAATGACCCTAAGCATACTGCTAAAGCAACACTTGAGTGGTTTAAGGGGAAACATTTAAATGTCTCTGAATGGCCTAGTCAAAGCCCAGACCTCAATCCAATTGAGAATCTGTGGTATGACTTAAAGATTGCTGTACACCAGCAGAACCCATCCAACTTGAAGGAGCTGGAGCAGTTTTGGCTAGATGTGCCAAGCTTATAGAGACATACCTCAAGAGACTTGCAGCTGTAATTGCTGCAAAAGGTGGGTCTACAAAGTATTGACTTTGGGGGGGGGTGAATAGTTATGCACGCTCAAGTTTTCTGTTTTTTTGTCTTATTTCTTGTTTGTTTCACAATAAAACATATTTTGCATCTTCAAAGTGGTAGGCATGTTGTGTAAATCAAATGATACAAACCCCCAAAAAATCAATTTTAATTCAAGGTTGTAAGGCAACAAAATAGGAAAAATGCCAAGGGGGGTGAATACTTTTGCAAGCCACTGTATGAAAGACAAGCATTGTAATTTTGAATTCCGTAAAGTGAGTGTGGAAGAGGTGAAAAAGTATTGTTGTCTATCAACAATGACAAGCCACCGGGGTCTGACAACTTGTATGGAAAATTCCTGAGGATAATAGCGGACGATATTGCCACTCCTATTTGCCATATTTTCAATTTAAGCCTACTAGAAAGTGTGTGCCCTCAGGCCTGGAGGGAAGCAAAAGTCATTCCGCTACCTAAAAATAGTAAAGCCCCCTTTACTGGCTCAAATAGCCGACCAATCAGCCTGTTTACCACCCTTAGTAAACTTTTCAAAAACATTGTGTTTGACCAGATACAATGCTATTTTACAGTAAACACAGACTTTCAGCATGCTTATAGGGAAGGACATTCAACAAGCACAGCACTTACACAAATTAATGATGATTGGCTGAGAGAAATTGATGATAAAAAGATTGTGGGGACTGTTTTGTTAGACTTCAGTGCGACTTTTGACATTATCGATCATAGTCTGCTGCTGGAAAACATTTATGTGATATGGCTTTACACCCCTGCTATATTGTGGATAAAGAGTTACCTGTCTAACAGAACACAGAGGGTGTTCTTTAATGGAAGCCTCTCCAACATAATCCAGGTAGAATCAGGGATTCCCCAGGGCAGCTGTCTAGGCCCCCTACTTTGTTCAATCTTTACTAACGACATGCCACTGGCTTTGGGTAAAGCCAGTGTGTCTAATGTGTGTGGATGACTCAACACTATACACGTCAGCTACTACAGCGACTGAAATGACTGCAACACTTAACAAAGAGCTGCAGTTAGTTTCAGAGGGGGTGGCAAGGAATAAGTTAGTCCTAAATATTTATAAAACTAAAAGCATTGTATTTGGGACAAATCACTCACTAAACCCTAAAACTCAACTAAATCTTGTAATAAATAATGTGGAAATTGAGCAAGTTGAGGTGACTAAACTACTTGGAGTAAACCTGGATTATAAACTGTCATGGTCAAAACATATTAATACAACAGTAGCTAAGATGGGGAGAAGTATGTCCATAATAAAGCGCTGCTCTACCTTCTTAACAGCACTATCAACAAGGCAGGTCCTACAGGCCCTAGTTTTGTCGCACCTGGACTACTGTTCAGTCGTGTGGTCAGGTGCCACAAAAAGGGACTTAGGAAAATTGCAATTGGCTCAGAACAGGGCAGCACGGCTGGCCCTTGGATGTACACAGATATTTAACATCAATAATATGCATGTCAATCTCTCCTAGCTCAAAGTGGAGGAGAGATTGACTTCATTACTATTTGTATTTATGAGAGGTAACCAGAAAGCAGTAAAATTAGATTAAAAAAACAGATAAAAATACACCTTATGGAACAGCGGGACTGTGAAGCAACACAAACATAGGCACAGACACATGCATACACACACACGATAACATACGCACTATACACACATGTACACATGGATTTTTGTACTGTAGATATATGGGAGTGGTGGAGTAGGGGCCTGAGGGCACACAGTGTGTTGTAAAATCTGTGAATGTATTGTAATGTTTTAAAAATTGTATAACTGCCTTATTTTGCTGCACCCCAGGAAGAGTAGCTGCTGCCTTGGCAGCAGCTAATGGGGATCCTTAAAAAATACAAATACAAATGAGATGTTCGACGAGCAGGTGTCCATATACTTTTGGTCATGTAGTTTATATATATATAGTTGATGGAGGTTTACATACACCTTAGCCAAATACATTTAAACTCAGTTTATCACATTTCCTGACATTTAATCCTAGTAAAAATTCCCTGTCTTAGGTCAGTTAGGATCACCACTTTATTTTAATAATGTGAAATGTCAGAATAAGTGTAAAGAGAATGATTTATTTCAGCTTTTATTTATTTAATCACATTCCCAGTGGGTCAAAAGTTAACATACACTCAATTAGTATTTGGTAGCATTGCCTTTAAATTGTTTAACTTGGGTCAAACGTTTCGGGTAGCCTTCCACAAGCTTCCCACAATAAGTTGGGTGAATTTTGGCCCATTCCTCCTGACAGAGCTGGTGTAACTGAGTCAGGTTTGTAGGCCTCCTTGCTCGCACACGCTTATTCAGTTCTGCCCACACATTTTCTATAGGATTGAGGTCAGGGCTTTGTGATGGCCACTCCAATACTTTTACTTTGATGTCCTTAAGCCATTTTGCCACAACTTTGGAAGTATGCTTGGGGTCATTGCCCATTTGGAAGACCCAAGCTTTAACTTCCTGACTGATGTCTTGAGATGTTACTTCAATATATCCACATAATTTTCCTTCCTCATGATGCCATCTATTTTGTGAAGTGCACCAGTTCTTCCTGCAGCAAAGCACCCCCACAGCATGATGCTGCCACCCCGTGCTTCACGGTTGGGATGGTGTTCTTCGGCTTGCAAGTCCCCCCTTTTTCCTCCAAACATAAAGATGGTCATTATGGCCAAACATTTCTAGTTTTGTTTCATCAGACCAGAGGACATTTCTCCAAAAAGTACGATCTTTGTCACCATGTGCAGTTGCAAACCGTAGTCTGGCTTTTTAATGGTGGTTTTGGAGCAGTGGCTTCTTCCTTGCTGAGCGGTCTTTCAGGTTATGTCAATATAGGACTTGTTTTACTGTGGATATAGATACTTTTGTACCTGTTTCCTCCAGCATCTTCACAAGGTCCTTTGCTGTTGTTCTGGGATTGATTTGCACTTTTCACACCAAAGTACGTTCATCTCTAGGAGACAGAACGCGTCTCCTTCCTGAGCGGTATGACAGCTGCGTGGTCCCATAGTGTTTATACTTGCGTACTATTGTTTGTACAGATGAACGTGGTACCTTCAGGCGTTTGGAAATTGCTCCCAAGGATGAACCAGACTTGTGGAGGTCAAATTTTTTTTTCTGAGGTCTTGGCTGATTTCTTTTGATTTTCCCATGATGTCAAGCAAAGAGGCACTGAGTTTGAAGGTAGGCCTTGAGATACATCCACAGGTACACCTCCAATTGACTCAAATTATGTCAATTAGCCTATCAGAAGCTTCTAAAGCCATGACATTATTTTCTGGAATTTTCCAAGCTGTTTAAAGCACAGTCAACTTAATGTATGTAAACTTCTGACCCACTGGAATTGTGATACGGTGAATTATAAGTGAAATAATCTGTCTGTAAACAATTGTTGGAAAGATTACTTGTTTCATGCACAAAGTAGATGTCCTAACTGACTTTTGTTCTAACTGACTATAGTTCCAAAACTATAGTTTGTTAACAAGAAATGTGTGGAGTGGTTGAAAAACTAGTTTTATTGACACCTAAGTGTATGTAAACTTCCGACTTCAACTGTACCTACACAATAATGTACTATCTAATTTTACATAGATGGTTTTGAAGCTTTTTGCCTATTTTGTATTATCAGTGTATTGCACTAGTCAAATGTAGCCTAGGCTCATGTGTGTTAACTCTCTTGACTTTGTTTATTCAGGCACCTATTGAAAACAGAGTTGGGGTCGTTTTTCACAGAATACCTCCAGGTAAGTGATGTTACTGCTAAATGGTGAAATAATATCATGGATAGATTGTTTCTGATTGAGCCATAATATACATTTTAACAAAGCTTGTTTCATTGAACCTATCTGTCCCTCAGAACCAGTTGCTGACAAAGGGCATGGTCATTCTACGGGACAAAATAAGATTCTACGAAGGTATTTGTGGTGTCTCACTTTTCACAGAATCTTAGTAGATGTGTTAACAGTGACCCATTAGAGAGAGCAGTCAGTCCTCCAAATAAAAATAATTGATCTGAAGCTTACATTACCTTTGTCAGGGTCTGTGATGTTCTGTGCTTAACACACCAAAGTCAACTAAGGCCATAGGTCCCAAACTGCTGTGCTTTGTGAGATTATTTTAGTACTAACAGCAGTTGGTTTGCTCCTCCTTTGGTGTGCAGGTCAGAAGTTACTGGACTCTCTGGCAGAGACATGGGACTTTTTCTTCTGTGATGTTCTCAACATGCTACAGGCCATCTTTCACCCAGTACAGGTATCACTCCCCTAACTCTCCTCCCTCATCTCTCTCTCTCTCTATCTCTCTGTCTCTATCTCTTTATGTCCTGACTCTCCTCTAACCTGTTCTCTCTCTCTCTCGCTCTCTCTCTCTCTCTCTGATTCTCTCTTAGCAGACAATAAAGAAACACATTCTCTCAGGGAATTAAAGCTGCATTTTCATAACCCTCCCTCTCCTCACCCTTCGCGCCATTCCTCTTTCTATCTCTCCCCTTCTTCTCTCCTTTCTGTCTGCAGGGTAAGGAGCCCAGTGTGAGACAGCTGGCTCTGCTCCATTTCAGGAACACCATAGTTCTGAGTGTGAAGCTGGAGGATGCTCTGTCTCGGCCCCGCGCCCGCATTCCCCCCTCCGTCACGCAGATGCTGCTTATACTGCAGGTAGGTACAGTACGCCTCTCTCTCTCTTTTTCTCTGTCTCTTTATGTCCCTCACTCACACACACACATGCTCTGACCTGTCTTCTCTCTCTCCCTGTAGGGTGTCCATGAGTCGCGGGGTGTGAGTGAGGACTACCTGCGTCTGGAGTCTCTGGTCCAGAGGGTGGTCTCTCCTTACCTGGGCACCCACGGCCTCTACTCTGGAGACGGCAGCGTGGCACACTGCTCCTGTGTGCTTGGTAAGATACATACACTGCCCTGTTCACCCACTACGTTTTCTCTCTCCTTTACTCTCCTTCACTTACACACTCTGTCCCTCCCACAGAGAATCGTTTCCAGTGGTGCTGGCCTAAGCAGCCTGTGGACCAGCCGTCTAAGAACCCTGTGGTCCGTTCTAAGAGCTACAACATCCCTCTCCTCCTGACGCCCGTGGCAGAGTACGACCCTGACGCCAGCTCGGTGGGCAGCGGGGGCATCCGACGCCACTCTGCCTGTGAGATCATCTCCTGCTTAGAGGAACAGGGCCTGGCCTACACCGACATTGCCTCTGGGATTGACCCCTCCACCTCCAGTACCTCTGCTAACAGGCTCTGTGTGGTTCCACAGTCCACAGGTAGGGCCTCAGTCCTCCTCACTAGCTCCTTACTAGGTTAGGCTATGCATACACTACAAACTGCAAACTTCCAGAGGCGCAGGGTGGAAAAGTTGCCATAGTAGGAAAAATAAGAAAAATACTCTTGCCAGACTGATTGATCCTAACCCACAACCTTCCCTCTGGCAGGATCTATGGAGTCTTCTCTCCCCTCCCCCTCAATCCTCCCTCTCCACTCCCCAGGACCCCTCCATGGGACGGAGGCAACAATGACCCTCACAGACATGGCCAATGGTGCCCCCTCCTCTCCCCCCAGCGGATCCTCCAGCCCAGAGACCATCATTGGACAGGTGCTGGAGTCCCTGGACTCAGATTTAGATGGGATATTCATAGAATTCCCACCCTGCTGCTCGGAGTCAATGGGATATGGTCGGGAGAGCAGGCAGAGTACTGTGTAGAGGGAATCATGGGTGGAAGGTGTACCTTAGGCACACATGTGTAGGATCAGCTTGCCCTCCCCAAATATCTTATCTTAGACATTGGAGGGAAATGCTCAACTTAGATCAGTCTCTAGGCTAGAGGCAACCTCATCCTTATAAGGATTTTGTGGGTAAGTGCACTCCATACTTCTCCCCACAAGAGGCCTCTTTTTAGTCAGCATTTATTTGGAGAAGAAAAAACGAACTTCTCTAAGCATTTGATTCAATCTGATAATGTCTGCATTTTTTGGGATGTGTTTTGTTTTGTATGTTTTGAAACTTGACTCTCACCACTATGATGCCGTAACCTGTGGGCCTTTGGATGTGGGCCCTTGGATTGTGTCTGGGTTTTCTACAAAAGCTTGGGAGAACTGCAGTTACCAGAAAAGCTTTTGGAGTAAATACAGTATGTGAATGTGATTTGGTCACATCTTACTCCTCATTCTAAGAACCTGCATATGTTCCCTCTCCCCTCTGTGTGTTTTTTCACTGTCATGCCAAACATGTATGGCGTGACAATGATAGTCAGAGGAGTTGGCTAAAGTACATCTGGGAGCAGTCTATCATCCTCTTTTCAAAGGTCTTAAAGCAGTCATGTTATGTATTACTCATAGAAACTAAATAATGAAATGTAATTGTTTGTTTACTGTTTACAAAGGGCGAGAAAATGAGGGTTTAATGAAATTGAATGTTGTATCATTCACTGTGTTGTGTGGCACTTCAACTGTAAATAAATTGTTGTTTTTTAGGACAGCTAGATATTGTGAAGTAAGCTTTTTAACTTAACTTGTGACTTCAATAAGGGCTTTTTAACTGAAGCTATTTTTATGATGTTTTACCTCAACCGTTTTTGTATACTTAGCTTTTTTTTTGACAATCTGTAATGAGAAGTTTTTATCCAAGATTGTAAATTATCATTAATTTGTGATATCAGATTTTAATAAAAATTCCAATGGCTAAGTACAGATTTCCATTGTTTTGTTAAATAAAATGTTATTTAGTCCATTGACTTAATTTAGTCAGAGAGGAAGAGATGAAGCGAGAGACAATCTATAATGAGACGTTTTTATCCAAGGTTGTAAATTATCATTAATTTGTGATATCAGATTTTAATAAAAATTCAAATGGCTAAGTAAAGATTTCCATTGCCTTTTTACATACAATTTTATTTAGTCCATTGACTTAATTTAGTCAGAGAGGAAGAGGCAAAGCGAGAGGTTTCACTCAGGGCAAAATTTGTCCACGAAAATAAGCCCACGAAGTAAGGGTTTTTTGTATGGAGGTCAAAGACTGTCAACAACTAATGTAATTGCTAATTTGCTACGTGAGGCTTATTTGATCAAATAGAAGTTTCATGATGGTTAGATTGTTACTAATGCACTTATATACAGTAAGTGGGCACACGTGGCGTTTTAAGCAACTTTGAAAAATACGCCTTTATATCTGAGTTGTGCCTGTTGTCATAGAGATAGATAGAGGACTCATCATGGATATAACCCGTTATAGGTCGTTATCAATAAAACGTCACAATACAGTGCAGTGCCTTAGATTTGGCTGCTGGGGGGCAAGGAGACCACCAGCTCTGCTAAAACCATTGACAACTGTGTGCCGTTTTCTAGGGATTGTTAAATAAATGTTATAACTATTTGGTTTTAATATCACCTCTTGAAGGGCATAGTCAGAACTACATATTTCTGATTACTCCACATTTAGCTCTATCATCAGAGTTATGCACCAAGTAACTGCATGCTTTTCATGATCTGTAAACAATTGATCATGTAATTTCAGATACTAGAGGGCCTATCCATTTGGCTTGTAGCTAGCTAGCTAAGCAAATAACATGTAGCTTGCTTCATCAGAGAACAGGCTTTTGAAAAGAGCTTGACATCGTCAAATCTTCCTCCTGGTAAAGTTGTCAGTTGGACTTCTGTCATCACCACTATAGATGTCAAGCAAGTCAAACAATATTTGGATATAGCCATCTAGTTTATCCCCTGAAAGTTAGCTCGTTAACTAGCCATATTGAGGTGATCTGTTAGCTAGCTAATTTGACTTGGTCAGTCAATCAATGTAGCCTATCATGTCTATCAGCAGCAATCGTGATTAAATACACTCTTAAAAACAATGTTGAAAATGAGATCATGTTAGCTAACTTTGCTAGGTAGGCCTACATTGGTTGGAGAAAAAAGTACATTAGGTCTACTCACCACTATGTTTAGCCAACTGTACAAAGTTTCTACCAGTAGTTTGCAAAGTAAACATTATCAGCTAACAGTCTACATCTGCAAATGCGCCCTTCTGCTGCTTGACAGACAGAGCCCAAAAAGGATGGGAAATTAACCTACACCACTATATCACTCAAATATCCAATTAATGGTGGCCAATATTGAGCGATATCGTGAGGCTATACCCTCACATATCTGAAATTACATGATCAATTGATGTTTACTGATCACGAAAAACATGCAGTTACTTACTGTATAACTCTGATGATAGAGCTAAATATGTGCAATTGTTTTGCATGGAATAATCAAACATTTGTAGTTCTGACTATGATCTTGAAAAGGTGATTATATTACAACCAAACTGAACTAAAATATAAATGCAACAATTTCAAAGATTTAACTGAGTTACAGTTCATATAAGTCAATTGAAATAAATTCATTAGGCCCTAAACTATGGATTTCACATGACTGGGAATACAGAAATGCATCTGTTGGTCACAGATACCTTTTAAAAAAGAAGGTAGGGGCGTGGATCAGAAAACCAGTCAGTATCTGATGTGACCACCATTTGCCTCATGCAGCGCAACACATCTCCTTCGCATAGAGTTGATCAGGCTGTTGATTGTGGCCTGTGGAATGTTGTCCCACTCCTCTTCAATGGCTGTGCGAAGTTGCTTGATATTGGCGGGAACTGGAACACGCTGTCGTACACGTCGATCCAGAGCATCCCAAACATGACATTAGCAAACCGCTCGCCCACACGGACGCCATACATGCTGTCTGCCATCTGCCTGGTACAGTTGAAACCGGGATTCATCAGTGAACAGCACACAGTGGCGATTTTAGCATGTAAATCTTGGTGGGGCAAACTCAACCAATTTTTTTTTGATGCATGCCAGCAAAGCCACTACACTACACAACACATTAATTGCACTATAACGGTGACAAACGGTGCACACAAACTGTTAGGGCCTACATAAAGCTGTCCTGACAGCGGAGCCTTCCTTTCATAATATAATATGCCATTTAGCAGACGCTTTTATCCAAAGTGACTTATAGTCATGCATGCACCTTTACGTATGGGTGGCCTGGGAATCAAACCTACAATTCTGGAGTTGCAAGCGCCATGCTCTATCAACTGAGCCATACAGGACCACAGAAGAAGAGAGATGCACCATGGAGTGAATCCTTACCACCGCTACACCTGGCTATCAGCGGAGCCTTGTCTGGCAGCGAAACAGTTCATTCAGCCTCATTTACTGCCTTTTTAAAAACCATAGCTGACTTGCTTAAACAAATATGGTTTCTACTGACTTCTTGTGGGCATGAGTTTTGACTTTTGAACCATACACAAATATTATTATGTTTATGTTCAGTGGATTCATAAAGTTTGTTTTTGTATCATTAACACTTAGCTCTAAGTATAAGCAAGTGCGAGCATACGAGCTGCGACGAGGTAGGCCTATTTGTTCAGCACTTTCAAAATGGACACCTGTCACGGTTTCGGCCGAGACTGCTCCTCCTCCTGGTTCGGGCAGGCTTCGGCGTTCGCCGTCCCCGGAGTACTAGCTGCCACCGTTGAATGTTTCGTGGTGTGATTGCTTTGGTCTGTCTTGTACACCTGTGTCTGTTTGTGTTCTGATTACGTGTCCTATAAGTTCCCTGTTTTGTATTGGTTAGATTGTGTGTTGTTGTCTGCCTGTATTTCGGAGCTGCGTGTTGACGCTCTGTTTGTTTGTTTAGTGTTTACGCATGGATTACGTATTCACTCGCCTCTGTTTGTTTCGAGGCCGTGTATTGTATTTTTTGCACTTTTGACTAGTAAAGTCTGTTGGACGAAGCCTCTGTGTCCTGCGCCTGACTCCTCCACCACATCCACATCGGTTCATCTGACAGAACAACACACCAACTATGGAGTCAGCAGGAGCAGCTGCGACACCCAAGTCGCTGGAGGAACGGATCAGCTATCAGGACACCATGATCCGGCAACTTGGGTCCGCCATGGACGAGGTGTCCAACACTCTGCGCCGGTTGGTTACTGGGGAGGTGCCCACGTCTTCTTACACCATCCCATCACCAACGGCCAGTCCTCCTCTCTCAGCACCGGAACCCAGGGGCATTCGGCTCTCGCTCCCGAGGGCATATGACGGTTCTGCAGCCGGGTGTCAGGGGTTCCTCCTGCAGGTGGAACTTTACCTGGCTACCCTACACCCAGCGCCCTCAGGATACGAGAGCGTCTCCGCCCTCATCTCCTGTCTATCCGGCAAGGCGTTGGAGTGGGCCAACGCCGAATGGAGGGGAATAGACGCCGCTACCATCACCTACGCGGAGTTCTCCCGCCGCTTCAGGGCTGTCTTCGATCACCCACCTGAGGGAAAGGCGGCGGGGGAGCGTCTGTTCCACCTCCGACAGGGGAAGAGGAGCGCACAGGAGTTCGCCCTGGAGTTCCGGACTCTAGCGGCGGATGCGGGGTGGAATGAGAGGGCCCTCATCGACCATTACCGGTGTAGCCTACGAGAGGACGTTCGTCGTGAGCTGGCCTGCAGGGACACCAACCTATCCTTCGACCAGTTGGGGGACATCTCCATCCGTCTCGACACCCTGCTGGCTACCCGCGGACGTCCCGAGTGGGGGTCGTCCATTCCACCCTCCAGCACCTCCGAGCCGATTCCCATGGAGCTCGGGGGTGCTGGCGCTAGAGAGAGGAGGAGAGAGAACCCGAGGGGGGCCATCCCCTGCACCAACTGTGGCCGT